CAGGGAATGATGTGTGAGGCAGCGTGGCTTCAGCTGGAGGAAGAGGCGTGGGTGAGTCACTCTTTCTAATGACTTCTCCTGATGTTTTTGTTTCTAAAGGCTGGAATCTGGGGAGCGTCTTCAGGCTCACTGAAGATGACCTCCAAGGTAGGGAAATACTTTCCAGGTAGGACCTGATGGGAAAGGGTTCCTGAGAGCCTTCAGGTTATTCCTGCTGCTTGAGGGGCTGAAGAAGGGAGTATGAAATCAGCAAGAAAATGAAAATGTGTGTGAGGTTTGGTTTGTTCTTTTCAAAGTTTATTGTCATAAAGGTAGGAATTGTCTCTCTGGGCTATGAGGGTGCTGTGTTCATTAGAGATGATTTTTGCAGTATGCCCGCTCTTTTCTGCCCAGTGAAACATCAAAACCTTTGGTTTTCATTAATCAGCACTTCTTGGGATTATGCACAAGGGATGTAGGGCTGGGCATTGAGTGTCATCTGTAAAGGAAGGAAGGAATCTGTGGGAACATCTCTCTCACAGGCATTTACTTGAACTTAGAGAAAAAGTTCTGCTCTGTGCCAAGGGGAAATTGATAATCACCCTCTAAACTTTTAAGATTTGTTATAGCACATTTATGTTTCTGTCCTCTCTGTGGGTTTAAAGGGGTCTCCAGGGTTGGATGGCAGAGTGAATGTTCACTCTGGGCTCACTGGTACATCTCGAGTCTCCTGGGAAGGCAGGGGAGAAGTCTGACCTTCATCACATTTGTAGCCTCCACTTCCCACCCCTACCACGGATTCTGAGATGTGGCTTCTTTCTCTCCAGTTCTCTAATTTTTGGGGAAACCAAGAGTTCCTTCCCATAGAAGATGGCATTACACTATTTCCTGTCTTCAAAAATTAGGCTTCCGTTGTTCTCTAAGTTGATATTTATAAGTTAAGTTCTGGACCTTTTATTCACAGATTGCTAAAAGTTGTGCAGCAAACTCCTATGTTAAAATGTGCTGATAGCACATAATTCTGTCCATGCTACGGATGACATTTTTATATTTGGAGGATCCTCAATTTATATAATAAGATACAAAACTAAGTGGGCACCCTCTATTCAGTTTGGGGCACTTCATTAAAGACCTGAGTTTGCTGCTCTCTGTCATTTGCTTTTTTTCATGACAGCTTTGAACCATCTAAATATTGCCAGCACCCTCTTTTGGAACGCTGACATCTGAGAGGGTGAGATGGCACAACTGCAGACATCCCTGTTCCTCCCTGAAATTTCCCTCCTCCTTTAATCTTCTCCCTTAAGCGACCTGCTGTGACTGCTAATGACTTGTTTAGATCTCTCCAGGTCTGGACTATTATACATAGAATAAGTGAATATGTGTTTCTCAGTGTCTGGCTTTTTCCCTCACATTATGATTTGAAATTCATTCATGTTCGTAAGTGTAACTGCAGTTCTTCCATTTCCTTGCTGCATACCATTCCACTATAGTCACATATTACAGTTTATCCACTCTACTGTTGATTGACATCGAATTTTCTTTTTCTGTTTTTCAATAATTATGGCTGTGAGAAGTAATGTTGCTTTGAGTATTTTTGTCAATGGTTTCAGAATAATACTGGCACTATTTCTGTGTAGTAGATTGTTAGAAGGGAACATATCTTTTATTGTCATGAATAGTGCCAAATCTTTTTCAAAATGGTGATGCTAATTCATGCTCCTGTAGCAGCATATGTGAGGAGACATTTCTCCAAATCCTTGTGAACTTAGTTTTATCTCTCCCTAAAAATTCCATCACTGTGGTTAGTCTTTCATTTGTATAGCATCTTACTTAAAATTTTTAACCAAAAATTTTGTTTTAATTTAATGATGCAGGCCAGTAGATTTGTGTACGCCCGTCTGACCCCAGCCATGTAAGTAATCATTGATCAAAATGTCACTATGCCACATGACTGTCCTTAATAACAACTGCTTAAGTTATTAAAATGAAAGGAATGACTGATACACATTTGAGTCTTGGATACTATGTGGTCACTTCTCTATGTTGCCTCCTTGAAGTATCACAATCACTTTGAGGCATTATTAGTTTGGTTCTATTCATTATACAGATGAGAAATGTGAGTCTCAGTTAAATAAATTATTCACCAGACACACCCACAGCTGGATCTCTCTAACACCAAAGGCTAATCCATAAACTAACATGCTGCACTGCCTGTAGCGGCGAAGTAGACTTGCTGTATCAAACAGAATCACTTAGTCCTCAGTTGCACCATTCAGTAAGCATCAGCACAGCATGAAGTGTGCTCCCTGTTGTGTTGTGGGGACAAAACATCTATCCCAGGTCTCTGTGGCCGCCCGTTCTGTCCTGTCCAATGAAGCTCTGTTCTGTTCCATTGGTCTACATCTCTGTTTCGGTACCAGTACCATGCTGTTTTGATTACTATAGCAGTTGACTACATTTCTGATCAGGTTTACAATATTCATTGAGAGAAAGAGAACGTTGTGCAAACAATCCACAGCATGACGTGCCCCTCATAAAGCTTTGTTTCTGCGTTGCAGGTAGTGCCGGTGTTCCCTCTGAAGTGTGACTCTGGGAAGTATTCTGGAGTTATTGTCAAGAAAAAAAAAGCTGGTTTCAATGTGAAGTGCCACCCTGATTCTGGGATTGTGATAGGAGTAAGCATAGTGCAAGTGTTTTTTAAAAACCTGAATTCCCCACGGAAAATCATGGCCAAATTTTGAGGCAACAGCTGTGCTCCCTTTTGGGTGGCACTGAGTTGGGTGCTTGAGGATTGGGGGTGTCTCGTGTGAGGCTGCATCATGTGATGTGAATGTGGAGCTTCTGTGCAGGCAAGGCTGTGTGTGTTCTCAGGAGAGAGTTTCCATTTACACAGCCCATTCGCCAGTGTCCACTTCTAAAAAATAAAATCCAGCCCCACTCTACTCTGTCTGTACAGTAACTCCTCCACCCTCACCAGAGCCATCCCTGGGTCTGGTTTATTATCCTCACTGCTCAGGTGGAGACGCTGAAGGGCCAAGGGGTGGCCCGGCTCCCGAGTTCCTGAATGAAAAAGTGAAAACACGAACCCAGGAATGTGGGCCTGTGCTGACACTGGCAACTACTGGCATACTCTTAGTCAGGGGGTGTTTGCCACCACGCAGGGAGTCCAGCATTTTTGTATAAGCCCTAAGGAGATCCCAGACACTGCCCATCGTTATAAAGTGGCCTCCGTGGTCACATAACCCAGGACTGTAACCCAGTTACAGACACATCTCCCTACAGACTGGCGTAGTCATCAGTGTGAAAAGCACAAAGATCCACAGGTGTTTGGATCAGCTCACAGGTCCTTTTCTCTTTAATTTTTAAGCTCAGGGGAACCTGTGCAGGATGAGCAGGTTTGGTACATACGTAAATGTGTGTCATGAGGGTTTGTGGCACAGGTTATTTCAACATCTACATATCAAACCTAATATCAGTTATTTTCCTGATCCTCCCCCTCCTCCCACCATCCACCCTCCAGTCGGCCCCAAGCTCACAAATTATAAGAGAAGTGGGGAACCACATGGACCAGTGCAGCCCACTTCAGTTGTGAAGTTAATTTGCTCAGCAGGTGGCCGGAGCACATAAGGATCGCTGATGTCTTTTAGTAGATTTAGTAATATTATCTTCCCAAGCCCTAAAATGCTCAAACCCTGCCAGCTGAAAATGGTGATGAGAGGGACAGGCAGGAACTCTGTGCAGCAATTGGTTGGTAGCCTGGTTTCCATCCCCTCGTGGCAACTCACTTGTGCATGCAGGTTAAAGACCCTCCGCCTCAACCCAAGCCTCCTCCATGAGGAGACTCTCACTGGTGGCCAGCTACTGCAGCGTATGGCCACCAGCCCAAGTGAAACAAAACGTTGCTTTAAAAAAAGTTATGTATTCATAATGTCCACTCATTGTTTTGTCATCTCTGCCCTCTCTGTGGTTATGTCTTCCTATTAATTTCTGATATTAATTTTGTGATTTCCCTTTTTTTCTTGATAAATCTTACTAATGACTTGTGTACTAGACTTTTCTTGAAAACAACTGTTGGCTTTCATTCACAGCTGAGTCATCGTCCATGGCTGGGGCATCAGGGTCATCATCCACCGATGGAACATCATCCACCGAGGGGTCAACATCCACCGATGGGACATCATCCACTGCTGGGGCATCATCCACCGATGGGACATCATCAACTGCTGGGGCATCATCCACCGATGGACATCATCAACTGCTGGGACATCATCAACTGCTGAGGCATCATCCACCGATGGGTCATCATCAACTGCTGGGACATCATCAACTGCTGGKACATCATCAACTGCTGGGGCATCATCCACTGATGGGACATCATCAACTGCTGGGGCRTCATCCACCGATGGGACATCATCAACTGCTGGGACATCATCAACTGCTGGGATATCATCAACTGCTGGGGCATCATCCACCGATGGGACATCATCAACTGCTGGGACACCATACACCGATGGGACATCATCAACTGCTGGGACACCATACACCGATGGGACATCATCAACTGCTGGGGCATCATCAACTGCTGGGGCATCATCCACCAATGGGACATCATCCACAGCCAGGGGCATCACCCACGGCTGGGTGTGTCTTCCATGGCTGGGTGCGTCTTCCACGTCTGGGACATCATCCACTGCTGGGTGCATCTTCCATGGCTGGGCATCATCCACGGCTGAGGCATCTCCCATGGCTGGGGCATCATCTATGGCTGTTTTGCTCAATCTGTATCTGAGCCACAGATCCAGATTATTAAATGATAATTTGAGTTCCACTTTTACAGTTGTTGTTTGTTTCATAAGTTATTCGTTAATAATTGAATAAAATAACAAAACCAGAATTTTCCCCTTTTTGTTATTGCTATTTCCATATAGAAAGAGTTGTTTTAAGAAAACAGATGCCTCTGTCTGTGTTTGTGAACAGGAGTTTTGGGTCTAAAACCTTTCTCTGGTAGCTCTGCAGGAAGATTGCCCACCTCACGCTTGCTTTCTGTGGGTTCCAGAGGCTTCCATTTAAAGGAGCATCTCTCCCCACTCTGCGTCACCTGGCACCAGCTCTCCTGTACCCACTGGCTTTCTAAACGCTTTCTTCCACCTTCACCTCATCGAATTCAAGACTCTGGAAAATAGTCAAAAATTATAAAAAGGTGGGAGTGGGAGTGATCTGGAAATCTCTGCTATAATATTTTTACAGGAATCTACTGAAAACTATTTATGTTTTAAATAAAGCCATCCCTTAGCAACAAAATATTAAGCCATTCATTTTTTAAACAACTTTGAGATATAATTCAAATGTTTTTATATGAACATATATGTGTGTATGTGTATATATACAACCATATACATATGTGTGTATGTATATATACACATAGTTGTATATATATGCACATACACATAGGTATACAGTTATATATGGTTGTGTATATATATATACACACACACACACATATATATATAGTTGTTTTAGGGCACAAAAATACTGATCTTGAGAAAAAAGCATTGGTATACATAAATATTGAAACTATCTGGCATAGCAAAAGTCCCCTTTAAGAAAATGACTTACAAAGCACAGAGTGACAGAAAATGCTCACAGCATGTATATGTGAAGAATGTGTCATGTTGGCCCCAGCTGTCAACATTGCCAGTGTTGCTGCTGTGCTCAGTGCAGACAGCTGTGGCATTTGTTCAGAACCTTCAGATGCTGAGGGTGGCTGAGCCGGCCCTGCCTTGGCCACAGACCCTAAATTGGATGGAGGGGAGGGACTGTGGGTCAGAATCAGCATAGTATGGAGGGCGGGTGTGTGGAGCAGAGCCGACTGTGGATACCCTGTCCCCAGGTGAGGTGCCCCCTCCTCTGTACAGTGAGTGAGGAGGGTAATGACAGGAGCCCTGGGTATGGTTCAGATGCAACTCCACTTCCTGACACTCTGCTGTGGAGTCTGAGCTTTCTGAAGCCACCTTACATCTTCCAAAACCTTCATGGGAGCAGAGCCACTGTATTGAAATAAGAGCTGCGACCTGCCTGTTCCTGGGCCCCTCTGTCCTGAGTTCTCACAGCTGACCCGGTGGGGTGAAGGTGTGTCCTAGCAGGTCAGTGTTGCCACCCAAACCTACCCAGTGGTCTCCCTGATGACCAAATCCCCCTGGAGGCTCTCATTTTCCAGCTGGGAGAGGCCATTTCAGGTGTGTCCCTCACTGTCCCACACTGCCCTCAGACCCCAAAGCCTTCCTGCCTCTGACACACTGGGGCATCTCAGGTGGAGAGCCTTGGCTGTCCTGATCCTCCTTTCTGAAGCTGCTCACGATGTCAGAGAGGGGCCGGGACAGCTGGGAATCCTAAATAAAGGGCGTGGGTTGAAGGGAGGTCACTTGTTCCTGCCAGCTGTGCCAGCAGAGCATGTGTGGCACTTTCTGTTGGTGTTTCCTGGGACCCAGAAGCACAGAGTTTACTCACACTATTAACACTCATCATCAGCCACCTAAAGGCCTCTCTTTCATATTTTTCTTTATCACCATTTCAAATCATGTTTTTCTCTATCTCTGAGTCACCAACTCAAGTGTAAATCATGTGGTTCCACTCCGACTTCCAAATCATCTCTAAAGACACTTAAAGAATTCATAGTGTGTTTCCATTTCTTAAGCAAATAATTTTTCCTCTTTAGGCCTCATCTAGTTTATTTGTTATTTTTTTTAAGATTTAAACTCAGACTTAAACATTTAATTTCATCCACGTGTGCATATGAACCATTTCCATTACTTCCAACAGGTCAGCATTGTGTAAAGTACATTTTAGTTTAAACCCTGTGCTGAGCATCACGTGACCAGTGAGGCCTTCTTCCTGCGTGTTTCCCTCCATCTCTGAACCACAGTGGCCTAGCTGCATGGAGGGTACACACTTAATGTTACTATGTGCTGAGGGACGTCCTGCTGGATGGCTGACCTCATTAATATCCCAGTTGTAAGAGCTTCTGAAACTCCACAGCCTGGCTGGAAATTTATTTTTATTTTTTAAATTGCAACATTAGTTGTCTACTCAACACTCACTGGTTTCATGCCTCACTCAGAAGTAACTGCACAATCGTAGGGCATCCACAGGAACCTATATGTTTTGCCAGCCCCTGCCCCTAGCTGGCTGATCTCCAAACCCTCTCCCTGGCTTCCTGCTGAGGGGGCTCTGGCAGCTCCTGCCACTCCCATCCTGCTCCCCCCAAGCCCTTTTGCTTTGCTCTCTGTCCTTCCAGGCAGCTCCTCCCAAACAGATGCACTGGGCTCCACAGGGGTTTCTTTGACCTCAGGTGGATCAGAACATGTGTTCATGTGACTTTTATTCACCAACACTTTGCCTTCTCTAAATTGCTTTGTTGTGATATTTGTCCATTTTTAGTGACATGTCCATTTTATGTCTTTTCTATTTTTTTTCTGAAATCTAGATTGTCCTTGCTAATATCTTTCCATTGTTCCATATCCCTCTGCAATTTTGCCTGTTGGATCCTTCTTCTAACAAAGCACCTTGAATAGTCATTCTGGAACTCAGAAGGTTATGTGACTTATCAAAATCCTAGAAACCTCAGCAAGTTCAGCACGTGAAAGTGCACTCAATCCTAAGTCATTAGCAGAGTCCACATTGAAACTAGTTTCTCACTCTTACACCCGCCAGAATAGGCACGTTATCAGAGACAAAAATGCAAAGGGTGGTGAGGATGTGGAGGAACTTGAACTGTCTGGTTACTCTGGGAACATACTTAGTTTCAACCATTTTGATAAATGGCTTTCTAGTGTGTACTACAGTCATCAGCACCTGTGACCCTACAGTCCCACTCCTACCATCTATGTCCAAGAGACATGTATGAGTCAAAGATGTTGGTGTCCACCTGGGGGACTTTACAGAAGCCTTGTTTCAATCAACCATCATGAGAAACAGCAGAGTGAATGTAAAAAACACGGAGATGTAAACTAGTTGTGCCAACTTTCTACAATGTTATATACTGACTCAGCAGTACAAAATGACAAATGCTTCATCACGTGGAACATGGGTGAAATTCACATATTCTCATAGAATTTTCAACTAGAAACAAAAGAGTACATACTGTAGGCTTGCATTATATGATGTTTAAAAATAAATTTAAAATGTGTTGATCATGATCAGGGTAGGTATGTCCTGGGTTTACTGCCTGGAAATTAGCTGCAGAGGGGTCCCTGGGGGATTTACCTCTGGGCGGTGGTAACAGTGTTTGTAAGAAGGCAGCAGTCTGCACATATGTGTGCACTGTGCCACGGGTAAAACAACCATCACCTAAAAACTAATGCAAATATTATCATTCCATCATGCAAGTGTCCATCCTTATTGTCTCCCTGTGAGTCTATCTATATTTTAAATAGAAGTAAATTCAATTTTGTATGTACAAGAACATGCTCACACTGCTCTCTTTTAACTGGGAGAATCATGATAGCAAATCCTGTAAAAGACATGACAAGAAAGGTGAATTAAAATTCAAATTCTTTCGAATACTGTTGCCAAAATATCACACAGTACATTAGTAATCTTGATTCTGAGGTTTTTTATTTTTATTTTTATTTTTATTTTACTAAGTTTGGGATACATGTGCAGAATGTGCAGGTTAGTTACACAGGTATACATGTGCCATGGTGGTTTGCTGCACCTATCAACCCGTCATCTACGTTTTAAGCCCCACATGCGTTAAGTATTCATCCTAATGCTCTCCCTCCCCTTGCCCCCTACCCCTGACAAACCCCAGTGTGTGATATTCCCCTCCCTTTGTCCATGTGTTCTTATTGTTCAGCTCCCACTTATGAGTGACAACATGCGGTGTTTGGTTTTCTGTTCCTGTGTTCGTTTGCTGAGGATGATGGCTTCCAGCTTTATCTATGTCCCTGCAAAGGTCATGAGCTTACTCTTTTTTCTGCCTGCACAGTATTCCATGGTGTACGTGTGCCACATTTTGGTTTTGTAAAGGAAAGACTGGGGTTTTGATATGGATATAAATGTGGTGGATGAGGACAGGATCCCTACTGTTTAGGGTGCTGCTGGGGAGAGTGGTGAGAAGAGACAGAGCCCTCAGGTTGGAGGAATGGACATTTGGCTAGAAATAGGACCTGGTGGTCCTCAGGGACAGTCCTGTGGTGGGGTCTCCAGGCTGTAGCTGTGTAGGGTTCCCTCTAAGAGGAGAAGGGACTCTGTGCATTGTCCCTGCAGGGCTCAGGATGCAATAGGAGTCTGAAGACGCTGACCTTCATTTTGGAAGAAATGAACAGGAAGAAAGGTCCACTCTGTGCTGGTGAAGCCACTGGCCATCCTCAGCCAGGCCTTAGTCCAGCTGCACAGACAGTGGCTCAGATCAATAGTAAGTCAGGTGGGAAGCTTTATAAACTGAGTTCATCAAGCCACTGACACTCCAGCCCAGGTGCCCCTTATCAGATAAGGGCATTAGCTACGCACCCACAGTTGGTCAAGTGGAGGGAAGCGAAGCAGTCATGTGACAGTTTAGAATGTTGCTTTCTAATACAGTTAGGGGTCAGTTGGCTGCAGGGGTCCCTTGTAACCAACTGATCATTGGAAATGTGTAGCCCATGGCAGCTGACTGTGACACTGCTATGAAAGGATTGCCCTGTTTTGAATCACCCTCATCTTTCCAAGGGCCTTCATTTGAGGTAAACCACATCCTGTTTGGGGTCTGGGATGGAAAGGAAGAGACAGAGGCTGGGTCTTGTGTCCAAGCTCTTTTCCGGGCTCAGGCATCTATTCCAGGACATCAGCCCTCCCACAGAAACCTTGGGTCAGGACGTCTTGAAAGTCAGGGGAGTTCATGTTTTGGGGGGTCTAGAGCACGATCTGGAGGTCTGGAGTGTGAAGACATCTCTGGCCCCGAGGCCTCAGGTACGTTTCTGCCAGGGATGCATCACACAGCAGTGTGGTGACTGGAAGGTCACATGTCTTTAGAAGAATTTCTTCCAC